GTTTTTAATTTTTATTGAATCATAATTGATTATACATATTTTGGGGGTTCAGCATTGACATATGTTGATCAAATCAATATTACTTCCATATATATTGTTACAAATCATACTTATTCTTTTTTTTTTTTTTGTCTTTTTCGTGACCGGTAAGGGAATCGCAACCCTTGGCTTGGTGTCAACCGCACCGCGCTCAGCCAGTGAGCGCAACGGCAATTCCCATATAGGATCCGAACCCGCGGCGGGAGCATCACTGCACTCCCAGCGCCGCACTCTCCTGAGTGCGCCACGGGGCCAGCCCAAAATCATATTTATTCTTTATGGCCCTTGTCCAATCTCTCCCCCTCTTCCTCCTCCTCCCCCCCAATTACCCTAGATTTATTTTCTCCTTCTGAATAAATAATGGTTACTCTGTTGATTTGTTGCCTAGATGATCTGTCCAATGCTGAGAGGTGTGTTCAGGTCCCCCAATATTATTGTAGAGCAGATGCTTCTTCTGTCACTCTGGAAGGGGCTTTGTGGAGAAGGACATCCTCTTCTCTACTTTGGTCTCTGCTGGTGACTCTCCTTGTGTCAATGCACTCCAGTGGCTGGTGGACCATCTACGTGGTGGCTGTGACCCCTAGCCACTTTCACGGCAGCCATGGTTATTATGGTGGCTGTGGTGGGCCACCCACATGGAGGTGATGTTTATGGCATGCTCCGTGGCACTGGCAGGGTGCCTGGTTGTGGGAGGGTGTCTGGTTCCTGGCTCCATGCCTCAGGTCCCTGGGGGTCTCCATGCCTCAGGGGGCCCCCGAGGCATTGACAGTGTGCCTGGCTGTGGGAGGGTGGTCCAGTTCCCAGCTCCATGCCTCAGGTCCCTGGTCGGACCCCAAGGCGCTGGCAGTGTTCCTGGTTGGGCGGGGGGGTCCAGTCCTCAGCTCCATACCTCAGGTTCCCAGGGGGGTCCCTGAGGCACTGTGGTGTGCCTGGTTGTGGGAGGGGGTGTCTGGTCCCCAGATCCATGCCTCAGGTCCCTGGGTGGGACCCTAGGTGCTGGCATTATGCCTGGGCCAGAACTAATTTTTTGTCCTTTGCTTACTTCTAGAAGGGGGGACCTTCCTGTGGGGAGCAGTACTTGAGCTGTATGGTTGAGCTAAATTGCTGCTTTGCTGCTGATTCCCTAGGGAAGGCTTTTTCTGCAGCTCAGGTTTTAATGGTTGACTTCATAGGTACTTCCAGCTCTCCAAAGACCTGGTGCACCTGTGTTGTATAGAAACTCTGATCTGGGTCTGAGTCTTTTCATCAAACTGCACCCCATGCAATTCTATATTTCTGAGCAGTCCCCTCTGAGTGGTCCTTTGCTGATTGGGGTGCTGATCAGCTGTCCTTGCTGTGCCCCAGTGCTCTCCCGGTGGGCCTGTCTCCCCCATTGCCCATGCTCCAAACACTTCCCATGAGATGGGCTGTGCACTGGTCCCTTGTGATGACTCACCAGCCTCTGATTGGCTCCTTTTTCCAGTTGTTGTGGCTCCTTGCTCCTATGTGGGTCCACGGGAACCCTATTAGTGGTCTTGCTGGCCTGGAAGCCACCAAGGCCCTCTTTGTTTCCTGCCACCTCCAAGCACCTTCATCCGAAGGGCACAGCTGCAGCTTTTGCTGGCTCCTGCTCCATGCACTCAGCAGCTTCAGTCTTATTTATTTATTTTTTTTAAATATGACCGGTAAGGGGATCTTAACTCTTGACTTGGTGTTGTCAGCACCACGCTCAGCCAGTGAGCTAACCGGCCATCCCTATATGGGATCTGAACCCGGGGCCCTGGGGCTATCAGCACCGCACTCTCCCGAGTGAGCCACTGGCCGGCCCGCAGCTTCAGTCTTATTTATTTATTTTTTTTAAATATGACCGGTAAGGGGATCTTAACTCTTGACTTGGTGTTGTCAGCACCACGCTCAGCCAGTGAGCTAACCGGCCATCCCTATATGGGATCTGAACCCGGGGCCCTGGTGTTATCAGCACCGCACTCTCCCGAGTGAGCCACTGGCCGGCCCGCAGCTTCAGTCTTAAAGTGGCCGCAGCTGGAAATGGTTGGAGCAGTTTTTTCTTTCTCTCAGTGTGGCTTCTCCCGCCTTCATGTACTCCAAAGGTCTCTCCTCCTCTTCCCCTGAGCTTAGTGGCCTCAGCTTGGCTGTTGTTGCTTTTATATAGTTGTAAATTGGTTGATTTGTGGAGGAGAGTGATGCTGGGGACTGTCTATTCTGCCATCTTGACCAGAATTCCATACTCCCCTCTGATCATTGATTTCTTTCCTTTGGACTATAAAATGCTGTTCCTTTTTCCAGATTCATTAGAAGCACCACACACATTATAGAGGCATCTTAAAATGCCTTCTGTAAATGCCAAAAGATGCTCTAGAATTCATTTAGGCAGGAAAATTGCTGTAGAGTACCTGGCGTGAGTTGTAACCCAAGCAACTGAAAAAAAATATGCACCATTCTCTCCAATGACAGACACCCTTGTGTTTGATGTCCCAGCACCAAAGTGGTAAGTGTGGTTTTCTTTCTAGGGTCTCCTCAGTGATGTGCAGCCAGAGTAGTAGTAACTAGAGAAAAAGTTATCGCCTTGCTAGGAATATTGACTTCAGGTGGCCATCTACATGCCTAAAGTTTTAAAATACAGGAAGTCCCCACCTACAAGCAGGTGTGTGCCAAAAAATTAGTTGTAGTTAATTGTTTGGAACCCAGAATGCATTTTCTCATAGGCATGTTATGAACGGTACTTAAATTCCAGGCAGGCCTCAGAAGCCTTTCCAGCCCATCATATACCTGAAGGATAGTCCTGTGCAATTAACAGGACAGGCGCCAGCCACCATACATCACAGTGTTTTATGTATTCAGCTACGCCTCACCCACCCCCTACACTCCCCATTCCCTCTCTTTGAGTGCCGGCTGGGCAGGGAAGGGGTTGGTTACTGAGGCCAGCAGGTGCACAGAGTTCTCCCACCCGCTGCTGGGGCCAGAAGGAAAAGTAGCACCGGCAGGGGTTTTCTCTCCCCTTCCCCAGGGAGCTTTCTCTTCCACATCAGCCAAGTCAGCGCTTCTCAACTGCAGTGTTTAGCTGAATCCCCTGGTGATGTGTTCCAATTGCAGATTCTGATCCAGCAGGTCTGGGGTGGGGTCTCAGATTCTGAATTTCTAACAGGCTCTCAGGTGATGCCTGCACTACTGGTCCGCAGACACTCTAGCGCCCCCACCCCACCCTTGAGTAGCAAGAGTCTCTAAACACCCTGGGAGGAGGAGAGGATGGTGATGAGGGAAATCCCATGTCCCTGCAGAAAGCAAGTGGGGAATGAGAGAGCTGAGTTCTCTTCTGTGGGCCTTATCGAGGTTCCTTTTCTGCTGAGAACCTCCTGCCTGTGGGAAGAAGCGGGCAGACGCTGGCTGCTGCTAGCAACTGGCTGCTTCTCAGCTTCATCTCATGACGGGCATTGTTGGCGGGGCAGGCAGGAGTTGTCGTGACACGGCACTCATCTGCTTTAAGAGCAGGCCTAGCAGGGCCCCGGTGTCTCCCCCGACACCTGGACCCAGCACGTTTGTATGGTGCGCACTATTAAAGCACAGTAGGAAATGGCAAGGGCGGGAGCCGCAGTCTGTATCCTAGAGCAGCGTTTCAGAGTGTGAGGAGCAGCAGGGGGGTGCACCAGGGGTTGCTGATGCAGGTGAACAAAGCAACTTTGAAGATCTCTCACTAGACTCAGTGCAGCAAAGCAGCTAGGACCTGGTTTTAATCCTGTCTCCACCACTAACCAGTCGTGTGTCCTTGAGCACCTGCCTGCCTGGGTGCCTAAATGTCTTCTGTCCTCACCTATAAAGTGAGGCTAAAATTAGCACCTGTTTCGTAGAGTGCTGGGAGAACTTAATGACACCATCCTTATAATGCCCTCAAACTGCTACAGAGGTGGCATAAGTGGTGGCAGTGGTACAGTCATGGTGAAATGAGTAATTTGAGATTACAGACATAAGGTCAAATTGTCTGCTTTGCCACTTACCTGTGCAACTTCAAGCAAGTGACTTACCCCTCTAAACCTCAGTTTCCTCCCTTGTAAAATGTATATAACAAAAGTATCCACCTTGCAGGTTGTTGAGAGGATAAAATAGGTAAAGCACTTAGCACAGTGCCTAGCACAAAACAAGTTTGGTACACATTAATTACTGCTATTAAGGCAGGCCAGGATAATTGGTATCTGGAGAACAGGCATTCTTTTTTTTTTTTTTTTTCTGTCTTTTTTTGACCGGTAAGGGGATTGCAACCCTTGGTGTGGTGTCGCCCGCACCACGCTCAGCCAGTGAGCACACCGGCCATTCCTATATAGGATCCGAATCTGCGGCAGGAGCGTCGCTGCACTCCCAGTGCCGCACTCTCCTGAGTGCGCCACGGGGCCGGCCCTGGAGAACAGGCATTCTCAAACTGCTCCAGAAGCTGTAGGTTTTACACAAATGTGTCTTGGGGGTGAGGAGCCCACTGTTCACTCCACCCACACCTGCCCCCCACTTCATCAGAGGGGCTCATCTTTATTGGGATTCAGCACAAAGACATGATTCAGAAGGAAAGGTTTAGAAAGTCACTGCTTTGTAGCTATGGCATGCTGTGAGACCGTGGGGTCAGGCAGATGGTCTAAATGTTCAGGAAGTTGGCATTTGCCTTTTCTACTTCATTTCCTTAAACAAAGAGTGAAAAAGCACACTGGCCAGTTAGCTCAGTCAGTCAGGGTGCGGTGCTGATACAGTGTGGCCCAATAACACCACAGTGCGCAGCTGGATCCCTGTATCCGCCAGCTTCCCAAATAAAGAAAAAAGATTGAAAAAGCAGATGGTAAATTTAAAGAGATACATGTATATATAACCTAAAGTTGTCTGAGGCTGTATTGAATTATATGGCTAATTTGTGTCACCAGATGTACGATATTCATGTGATCACTTTGTAGCATTTGCTAAGTATGACGCTTTGTTTTCTCCTCCAGATGAGCACGATGCCAGGACTGCCCACTCGGCCCTGCTTTTATGATATAGATCTTGATACAGAAACAGAGCAAGTTAAAGGCTTATTCTAAGTGAATGAGACTCTCCCAAGACCCAATTTCAGGTAGGCTGTTGTGTTTTTACTTTGTCTTTCTTTTCGTTCTTTTTTTCTTTCAGTTCAAATCCTTTTTTTGTTTTGTTTGCCTTTCAGATATTTATTGTGAAAGTGATCTGATAAGTAATTTCCTTCACTGGTTACTACAAATTCCTACCTAATGACTTCCCATGACTTGGGTCCACGCCTGGGTGTGGATATGCGTTAGATGTTCTGGACTCAGGCCCTTACCTGGACTTGAGTCCTGTGAAAGTCAGATCATGTCATCTCTGAATATATATTTTTTTAGAGCATGTGTGGCCATAACAAAGGAACCGTATAAAATCATTGTTCATTTTCCAGAATTACAGCCAATTATCTGCTGTAATTTTAAAAGAATAACTTGCTACCTTTCCAATACATATCTCCTGGTACAGAGTTAGCATCATGTGATAGAAGTATCTCAGTGTTTTCATTTCCTAGGGCTGCCATAAGAAAGAATCACAAACTGGGAGACTTAAAACAACAAAAATTTGTTCTCCTGAAGTTCTGGAGGCAGAAGTCCAAAGTCACAGTGTCAGCTGGGCCATGCTTCCTCTGAGACTCTGGGTGGAATCCTTCCTTGCTTCTTCCTAGCAGCTGGTAGTGGCCACCAATCCCTGATGTCCTCAGCGTGCAGCTGCATCACTCCCATCTCTTCTTCTGGTCACATAGCATTCTCCCTGGGTGTCTATGTGTTCACATGGCCTTCTCCCCTTCTTTTAAGTCCACCAGTCATATTGGATTCAGACCCACCATAATGACCTCATCTTAACTTGATTACGCAGCAAAGACCCTATTTCCAAATAAAGTCACTGCCACAGCTGCCCAGGGTTAGGACTTCAGTATATTTGGGGCCCGGGGGGGTGGGAGGGGACCATAATTCAACCCATCACACTTGACTGTGGCACAGCAGGTGTATTAGTCTCCCATGCACTGGAAAGACACATAGAGATGGGACAGACTGCCTAATTCAGAGGGTCCTGTGAGTCCCAGGAAGGACAGGGCAGCAGAAATTAGGCCACTTGTTGGCTCGAGGCCTGCACAGTACCAGGTAGGGCCTGACATGAGCTGTCTTAGGCAGCCCAGAGCTGGGGACTCTTGGTCTTATTCACGTCCATCCCTCAGTGCTACAGCCACACTTGCTGGCTACTGTCCTAATTCCCCATCATAAAGAAAAAACCCTCCTCCCTGGACAACCCCCAAGCGGAAGTTTGAAAGGCTTGGGGCTGCTTTCCCCACCCCATAGATCAGACACTCCGTAGATCCTCCCCATATTCTCGAGATGCATTCCTCCCTCAGAAGCCTTCCTCTTGCCAGCACCTTCAGGGCCTTCTCTATGAGCTTCCTTTCCCTGAAGACCCTTCCTCCAGCTGTCTCTGAGTTAGGCCAGGCCAGGCCCACAGGACTTTGTCCTGTGCTTCACTGCCAGGAGTCAACATGCGGGATTTTGTTGTTGTTGCTGTTGTTTTGTAAGTCTTTTTTACTAAAACACTAAAGTCCTGGTTATGATGAGAAACGTAAGAGACCACTTAAATGAAATTACATTAAAACAAGGTATGTGTGGTGTTTGTGTGTGTTTTTAGCTAAGAAGTGGGAGCTGTAATAAGCTCTAGCCACAACCACGTGTTATATCTTCATCATTTCTGAAAAAGAAAACTCCAGAAAGTGAAATAAGAGAGACTAGTTTAACAAAGAAACCCATAAACTTGAGCTTTGGTAACAGTGTTATTTTGGTCTTTTGGTATGACTTTGTGTGTTGTGAATGTCTTGGATTTCCCAGCTGGCCTTAGGAAAATAACAATATCATTCCTTTTAAACCGAAAATTGACCTCTGTCCTAACTAATCTCACTTTTCATGTCAAGACCCCATTGTGCTACATTTCTGCCATTTGTCATTTTTCTCCAGAACAGGTTTATACAATTCTCTCTCTCAGCTTTTTGGTCAGTTTTCATTGCTCTCCAAGTAGGTCATATGAGCCCCAATCACACCTTCATTATTGCAGTTAAGACTCAGTAATGACATGTCCTCACCTTTACTACGCATACACTTAAATTCTTCACTGCTTAAGATACTTGTGTTCCCTAACGAGGATTCTTCCAGATTTTATTTAAGATTGAGCAGGGGCTTGCAGGTCAGGACGCTGGCCTGTGGTGACGACCTCCAGTCTGCCAGGAACTGTGCTAGGCACCTCGTGTGGACAGCCACAGCACCCCAGGAAGCAGGCGTCGTCCCATCAGGCCACAGAGGCTTAAAGAGAATCTGCCCTTCCTACGTGGTCACCGAGAGCTGGTAGCTGGGGGCCAGTGGAGCTGCCGTCCTGCTGCATGGTGCCACCTCTCATCTCCTAGCTACCATGTGTCATTTTGCCACCCCATTACACATCATGCTGACGTTATCCCTGTGAAACCAGTAGTGGTTTTGATTCAGAGCTGTGAAAACTCTGGCCCAGAGAGGTCGGCAATTAGCTCAAGTCGCACCACTAATAACTACCAAAGCCAAGACTCCACTGCTTGCTCTGTCTCTCCCCGTCCTTTAAGCCCAAACTGAAGGATGCCCTTTTAATTTCAGTCACAGGCTAAATGAACTTTGGCCCATCCAGAAGGGTAATACTAGCTATTTGACCAGACAGGTATTTGGGGATAACAGAGTGTTTGGGGTTTTTTGTTTTGTTTTGGGGTTTTTTTTCTATAACTAAGATAATTATTAGGACTTTAAAAGCTATGACTTTGTCAAAATTCTTTTTAGTCTAGGTATATATAATAGGGCTATCTCTTAATTCTGTAATTGAATGGCATTCCCCCCACCTTCCACACCATTTATCCAAGACTTTTTTCTTCCTTGTGAACTGCTAAACACTGTTCTAGGCATGGTGGCAGTGGTTCAAAACCCATCGGGCCGGCCCGGTGGCGCACTGCTACAGTGTGCCGCTTGGGAGCGCAGCGGCACTCCCGACAAGGGTTCGGATCCCACGTACAGACCGGCCGCTCACTGGCTGAGCGAGGTGCGGGCGCAACACCGAGGGTTGCGATCCCGTTGCCGGTCCCAGTACGGTACGGGCGCGACACTGAGGGTTGTGATCCGTTGCCGGTCACGAAAAAAGACAAAAAGGAAAAAAAAAAAAAAACATCATTTGACCCCGCTTGAACAATTGAAAACAGATCCAGTGTCCTATGATAAACCACTATCCAAAGCAAACATTCCCTCACCATGACTCCTCAGTGTAATGATCCAGCAAACATCCTTTCTGTTTCCTGGGCCCTCTTGTGTATAGTAATCAGGAACCATTTCTGCTAATAGTCAACGGTCTGTAGCTATTAAAAATTCATAAAATAAAAATGTGAAATCTTGGACGACAGTCAGCATGGACAAATTTGGGCATCTGAAAAGGAAACATCTGGCTGGCTCACTTTGCTCACATAAGAATCAGACTATAGATAGTTCTGGACACTCATTTTCAGAGCGGCACACTCACTGTTCCTGGAGGAGCATGTCAGAGACACGTCCCACAGGGGAAGAATATTGCACTCGGTTGATGACTGCTTTCCTTCCTCCCCTTTCCTCGCCGTTCTCGCCTACCTCACCCTCTAGGAAATTGTGTAAGACTGAATGTGAATATGACATGCCAAGAAATCACAAGAATCTGAGCTCCTTCCCAAGACGTCCCTGTAGTGCTTTCACTATTGTTAGAATAAGGGCATGATTCATTCTTTTGGATGTCACTGAATAGAAGTAATCAAAATAAGTTGTTTGTCCCAATGAAATTGATCCTGCATATTACTGTTCAGTCTTTTGTTTGAAGATGATTGGATTTGGGGGTTGGATTTTAACCCCCTCTTCTGGTTTCTCATTCTGAGCCTTTATCATATTTCTGAGCCTTGGCAAGATCCAAATGGACCCAGTAAAGTCTGGCAGATTTTCTGAAGAATTCAAATACTCCCTTACTTACTGGCAAAGTTATGGTTAGAAGGGAATCAGATTTACTCAGGTCCTGCTATAAATGTTAGTTATTTACCAAAGAATTGCTTTTCTTGAAATACACATACAGAGGAAAGTATAAAACCAACTCATTTCTTCCATACACTGCCTTTAGGGCAGAAATTTTCAATGATATTTAATAATCATAAATTAATCTCGAGTTGCTACGTGCCAGCCCTCCCGTGGACAAAGTCAGTTCTACACCAGGTTACAAACCACAGGGTTGCAAGGTGCCCTTGGAAAGCATTCGGGCTTTATGATTTGGGTCTTGAAACTTTCTTTTCACAAAGCAGCTCAAAAATTGTTCATTGCCATTGTGCTTCCAGAAGATGGGGCCTCAGCTTGTCCCCCTGAGCCATCCCTGGGATAGAGCATGCCCCTCTCCCTTTCCATCGCCAGGCAGTCCAAACTGCTTTACTGATCCTCACTGGCATCTAAAAGATGGTGATAATTAAATCTCCCCTATCTAACTAAAACGGAGTGTTTTGGAACTTAGGTGACAATTGTGAAATTCTTAATTCCCTTTCTTATAATTCAATTTCTTATAATTCCCACACCAGACCAGATTATTTTATGTGTTCCATCTTCCACAATATTCTCCCATTGAATAAACTTCTGCAATTGGTTCCCCCCTCCCCCGCCACTGAATAAGCAACTGTTTCATTTTTACATTCTCACCTTAGCTAGTGCATCTCTGATTTTTTCCATCTTTAATCAGACTTCCTTTACTTTTGCCAATCCTTCAAGTTTTCTTCAAATGCAGGACCACAGACTCTAAGCCCCTTTAAACACAAAACCATGGGACTTGAAGGTAATGTGTCTGATCAGCAGGTCTTCCACCGCCCGCCTCTGGAGCATGGAAAGCCTGCTCAGCTTTGCTTTGCCAAGCCAGGGGTCATCTCTAGTCCACTGAGCCCATCCTCCTCCCATCCTCAGGAGTCACTGACCCTCACGTTCAGGGTCACCAGAGCCACTGAAGTGAGGCTGGGCATGTCTCTGAGTGGAGGGGCGAGGTCTGCACCAACCAAACCTCCCTTCCTAACATCTAAAATATTTTATTTTTGTTAATGTTTATTATACTTGCACTACTTCTGTTTTCTGTTTACTCCCCTGACTTGAATCAGATGTTAGGGGAGTACTTGAAGTTCCTTGTCCCCTCTCTTCATCACTGTCTTCTGTTTTGAAACTAACTAAGCATCCTCCCTGGCTCCAGCCCTTTCAGTTATCTATGGGAGGCCAACTTGCTGGATTTCAGCAGAGTTTGAACTCTCTTGGCCCAACAGATAAATCCTTCCATGTATAAATCAGATTAAAGGCCACAAACTTGCATTTACAATTTTCCTGGAATGGTGAACACATTTTTTCCCCTGGGATTTAGGTGGGTTTTTTTGTTTCGTGTTTTTAAAATGTAGTTTGATTACTTCTCCTTCTGAAAGCTTGTAGGATTCAAGAATGGCAAAGAGGGCCGGCCCGGTGGCACACTGGAGAGTGCGCCGCTTAGGAGTGCGGCGGCGCTCCCGCCGAGGGTTCGGA